TTTTGTCTGGGATAGGGTAGTTTTTTGTCTGGGATAGGGTAGTTTTTTGTTTGGGATAGGGTAGTAGTTTTGTCTGGGATAGGGTAGTTTTTTGTCTGGGATAGGGTAGTTTTTTGTCTAGGATAGGGTTTAGTCTCATTGTCTGGTGTAGGGTGGAGTTTTGCCTGTGATCGTATCTGCTAGGCCACACTTTCTGCGCTGAAATAGTGTACCTTTGTAYCTTTTGTCTGAGGTAGGGTATGTAAAATCACAAGAAATTGGTCTGGKATAGGGTAAGAGTTTTGAGGGTCRTGCGGTGCACCCCCACCCAAGTTTGGGAGGGAGTACCCCTCCCCCGGGACGACTGGCCACCAAGTTAGTGATTATCSCAATAACATCASCACAAAAGGGAGACAATGAAATAGGAAGTACTACAGAATGTTCCAATTATCTTTATTTATTATCCAAATTGAATTTGTTAATGAGGATCGTTGTGCAACTTATGAACAAATGTTTGTAAAGTTAGGATACTACAGAGTGGAGGCTTAACAATGTCAGTACAGAAGGAGATATTCCTAGTGTAAGCCACACCCAGATATTTTTGTTTCCGGTATCCTAAAACAACTGACGTATTTCGTTGTCGTTAAGTCATCGGGATAATCACGAACCATTTGACTTGAGAACTTTTTGTAATGTCTTCCCATTTTTTATCCAAAATATCACTTTTGAAGTAATAAGAATATGCTTTTTTCTTAAGGTTATGATTTCAATTATTTGAATATTTTATGACTTGCAGAGTCAGGCTGGGCAATCTCAGCACATTGTGTAGGACTCGGACGCCCTATGGATGAGCATTTACAGACTACTGGTAAACCTGTTCCTGGATATGATGGTAATTAATCATGTCTATTGGTAATAAGTATTAAMTTTGAAAATGTTTGGTTGGGCTAATAATTTATACCTAAATAGATTGACTTAGTAAGCTATACAGAATGAAGAATAAGTATGAAGTTTTAGCTGTTATTATAAATAACCGTTACTGTCAAAGAAAGTGCGTATGCAGCATTTATGTCTGCATGGTATAATATAGCAATAGCTGTCAGACTGAATCCATCCCATGAATGTTTTGTGTTACACAGTGAGAGTTCTAAGAGAGGACCAGACTGAGGCTGAAAGAGGGGAATTAGGACAGATTGTTGTCAAGTAAGTAATCCAGATTGCTAAAAAMCAGTTTGCAATCAATGAACAACGCTTTCTTATGCGTTGGTGTTCCCAGGCTGCCAATGCCACCAGGAACAGCAGGTACACTCTGGAGAAGCGATGAGAGATTTCRAAAAACCTACTTTGAMAAATATCCCGTAAGTACGTCTTTGTTTTGATTTGTGTCATGTGAGTCCCTCTGTTAACTATGATGCAAGTGGTCAGGCGAGACCCTAAATTGTGATATCCTATTGCATTTATACCATAGTATCGTTTTTACACATGCATATTGCTTGTATTTCAACAATGCCGTCCCTTTTGGGAGTTGTTACAATGTAAAAAGATGAAAGGATTTCCAAGCAAAAGTGCAGGTTAATAACACAGGGAAAAAAGATTATGACACAATGTGGGTTCAGTGGAAATTATTAGAAAGCAAACCTGGGGTTTTGGAGGGGTTTTGACCAAACTATCAAGAAAAACCCGGSCGCCTGGATATTGTTTTATGTCTAAATAATTTTTAAGTTGTTACTTTTTGTGGCTTTTGTATGGACCTGTATGGGGCGCCATAAAGGACAATATTGTATAACAATAAATATTTGTAACACGTAAAATATATAAGGAATGTGACATTGAGGACGAGGTTGATGGCTTTAATTTTTATATAAAAAGGTTTATTTGGAACAGTGTTAAAAGTTGTTATTTTATTTGAAGAAATCGAAATGAACATAAGCGTAATAAGCAAATTCTGAGTTAATAGCTATATGTATTAGAAGAGAGGATTACTTATCAACCAAAGATCGTGTTGGTCCTTTTTGAGAACTAATATCTTGTTTTTCAACGAACTTAATGTTAGGGATATTATGACACGTGTGATGCAGGAATCATCGATGAAGATGGTTTTGTGTCAATCATGGCACGAACTGATGATGTCATTAACGTTGCTGGGCACAGAATTTCCACCAAGGCACTGGAAGAGGTACATTTTATCAATGACATTGATTGAAGAATTATGAGATTCTATTACGCTTTATCCTGTTTATTACCTATATTTCATTATATCCCATGAATTGATTTTCTTCTTTTATTTATCAGGGTATTTCAAAACCAAGTTTTGTGATTGATTCTGCATGTGTGGGTTATAAAGATAAGATCAAGGGRCATGTGCCAGTAGCATTTATTACTGTAGATAAAAGTAAGAGAAAAAAAATTGTAGTCCTGCTGTAGGCTGGTTTCATAATTAACATTTTATTTTTTTAAGCTGTTGATATGAAGAAAGATGACATGATAGCCGAAGTCATCAAAAGTGTTCGTCAGACTGTTGGACCGGTAGCAGCATTTAAGACAGCCATAATTGTTGATGCTCTCCCAAAGGTTATAGGAGTTTTTGAAAACCATTTAAGAAAAAAGGGTCGTTTACTTGTGTTTGGGTGCGTAGTAGGGCTAAGTCTTTCATAGCGCAAGATAAAAGGGCTAGTATAGACGTACTACTAGAGCTCTCAATCTCATGAAAACAGACTCTTTATTGTATCCGCAACCGTTTGTGTCMATTTTGAGTTGAAGGGATTCRTTTTTTTTATTCCAACAGACCCGTTCAGGCAAGACAGTACGTGGTGTGTTGTCGCATTTACTTCATGGTACTGCTTACAAGGTAACTTTGATTAATGTTTAGCACTGTGGAAATCGTGTTTGTGTGCCCGACGGTTTGTGATCCCTGCAATTGTTTCACAAGCCGACATTTTTGTACATTTCTCATTTGTGTAGTCTCTTGCACATCACGTGGCTCGCGGAAGTTTGCTTATCATAGATGCCAGCGCTATTCATTACGCTAAATGCTAGCTGAATTCGCCAATTTTGTTGTAATGCTATTCGTTATTTGGCTCGCACTCTCGATCCTATACAAAGTCTGAGATGTTGTATTCCACTGCATAGTGCAGTGTGATGGTGGTGGGACATAATAGGTATGAGGAACRCTATATTTTTGCTTTCTGGCTTTTAATTAATACTACCTAAGCAACCAACGCCTAGTTCACTTCTAGTCTCCCCTCTTAGCCGTTGGTTCGTTTTTAATGAGTTTTAAGAATCATTTGTTCAATTATTTTGTTGATAGATAACTCCTACTATGGAAAATCCTAATGTCTTGGATGATATCAAAGCTACATTGAAAGAGGAAGGTTATGTTAAGGAACACTAAAATGGGCATGGAAGCTGTAACGTATAAACTACAACACATGAAATACTCTTCAAATACTTGGCTTATTCACGGATTAAATCCGCTACCGTTATTTCATGTGGATGTAGAAATTTATTTTTATTCATCAACATTTAACGAGCAAGTAAGTTTTTATTAACTCAAATGTATGTATTGTGCTCAGTGTCACAAAGATTATTAGGAGTAAATATTAATAATASTATTTCCATTACACAAGTTAGGATTATCGAAGTACGGCTGTGGTAAATTATCTGTAGATACGTGTGTACTGTATATCTACCAAATACTCCAGTT